TTCAAAAATTGATAAACTGAAAAATCGACAAATCGAGAAAACGAAACTCCAGAATTTAAAAAAATAAAAATTAGAAAAATCAAAACACCGAAAAATTGGAAAATTAAAAAATTGAAAAGCCCAAAAGAAAAAAGCGAAAAACCGAGAAATTAAAAAATCGAAACATCGAAAAATTCAAAAACTGAGACATCGAGAAATGGAAAAATCAGAGGATTGAAAAGTCGAAATATTTTAAAAAAGAAAAATTGGAAAATTGAAAATTTAAAAAAATTGGAAAATTGCAAAATAAAGAAGAACTGAAAAGTCCAGAAATCGAATAACATAGAATTTTAAAAATTGATAAAAAAGAGAAATCTCAGTATAAAACTGTCGGAAAATTGAAAAATCTGAAGTTAAACGAAAAATTCAAAATTCAAAAATTAAAAACTCGAGAAATCAAAAAATCCAATAGTCCAAAAATCGAAATATTGGAAAATCCCAAAACTGATAGAAATATCCAAAAATTGAGAAATTAAAAACCTGGAAAAATTGGAAAATCGAAAAACCAAAACAGCAAAGTCGAAAAATCGAAGAATTGAAGAATGAGAAGTGGGAAAATCAAAAATAGATTAATTGAGAAATCTTTTCTTTTCTTAAAAAAGAAAAATTGGAAAATCGAAAATTTAAAAATTCCGAAAATTGAAAAATTTAAATAAAGAAGAACTGAAAACTCGAGAAATCGAAAAACTTAGAATTATGAAAAATAAAAACTTGAGAAATTGAAAAATTGAAGTGAGAAAACGAAACTTTGGGAAGCGGAGAAATGGGAAAATATAAAAAAATACTTCAGAAATCGGAATACTGGAAATTTAAAACCATCAAAATTTGAAAAATTTAAAAAACGAAATTTTTAAAAATCATAAAATTGGAGAGGACAAAATAGAGAAATCGTATCATGAAACATAGGAAAATCGAGAAATCGAAAAATAAAAAATCCAGAAATCGAAAACTTGAAGAAAAGAAAAATTGAAAAGGCTCATCATTGAAATTTTGAAAAACTGAGACATCTAAAGTTCAAAAATTGAAAAACTGAAAAATCGACAAATCGAGAAATCGAAACTCCAGAATTTAAAAAAATGAAAATTTGAAAAATCAAAACACCGAAAAATTGGAAAATTAAAAAATTGAAAAGCCCAAAAGAAAAAAGCGAAAAACCGAGAAATCTAAAAATCGAAACAGCGAAAAATTCAAAAACTGAGACATAGAGAAATGGAAAAATCGGAGGATTGAAAAGTCGAAATATTTTAAAAAAGAAAAATTGGAAAATCGAAAATTTAAAAAAATTGGAAAATTGAAAAATAAAGAAGAACTGAATTTCCTGAAGTCGAATAACATAGAATTTTAAAAATTGAAAAAAAGAGAAATCTAAGTATAAAAACTCGAGAAATCAAAAATCCAATAGTCCTAAAATCGAAAGATCGTAATATTGGAAAATCCCAAAACTGATAAAAATATCCAAAAACTGAGAAATTAAAAACCTAGAAAATTGGGAGATCGCAAAACCAAAAAAGCAAAGTCGAAAAATCGAAGAATTGTAGAATGAGAAGTGGGAAAATCAAAAATAGATTAATTGAGAAATCTTTTCTTTTCTTAAAAAAGAAAAAATGGAAAATCGAAAATTTAAAAATTCCGAAGATTGAAAAATTGAAATAAAGAAGAACTGAAAACTCGAAAAATCGAAAAACTTAGAATTTTGAAAAATAAAAACGTGAAAAATCGAAAAATTGAAGTGAGAGAACGAAACTTTGGGAAGCCGAGAAATGGGAAAATATAAAAAAATACTTCAGAAATTGGAATACTGAAAATTTAGAAACATCAAAATTTGAAAAATTCAAAAAACGAAATTTTTAAAAATCGTAAAATTGGAGAGGAAAAAATAGAGAAATCGTATCATGAAACATAGGAAAATCGAGAAATCGAAAAATAAAAAATCCAGAAATCGAAAATTTGAAGAAGGGAAAAATTGAAAAAGCTCATCATTGAAATATTGAAAAACCGAGACATCTAAAGTTCAAAAATTGATAAACTGAAAAATCGACAAATCGAGAAAACGAAACTCCAGAATTTAAAAAAATAAAAATTAGAAAAATCAAAACACCGAAAAATTGGAAAATTAAAAAATTGAAAAGCCCAAAAGAAAAAAGCGAAAAACCGAGAAATTAAAAAATCGAAACATCGAAAAATTCAAAAACTGAGACATCGAGAAATGGAAAAATCAGAGGATTGAAAAGTCGAAATATTTTAAAAAAGAAAAATTGGAAAATTGAAAATTTAAAAAAATTGGAAAATTGCAAAATAAAGAAGAACTGAAAAGTCCAGAAATCGAATAACATAGAATTTTAAAAATTGATAAAAAAGAGAAATCTCAGTATAAAACTGTCGGAAAATTGAAAAATCTGAAGTTAAACGAAAAATTCAAAATTCAAAAATTAAAAACTCGAGAAATCAAAAAATCCAATAGTCCAAAAATCGAAATATTGGAAAATCCCAAAACTGATAGAAATATCCAAAAATTGAGAAATTAAAAACCTGGAAAAATTGGAAAATCGAAAAACCAAAACAGCAAAGTCGAAAAATCGAAGAATTGAAGAATGAGAAGTGGGAAAATCAAAAATAGATTAATTGAGAAATCTTTTCTTTTCTTAAAAAAGAAAAATTGGAAAATCGAAAATTTAAAAATTCCGAAAATTGAAAAATTTAAATAAAGAAGAACTGAAAACTCGAGAAATCGAAAAACTTAGAATTATGAAAAATAAAAACTTGAGAAATTGAAAAATTGAAGTGAGAAAACGAAACTTTGGGAAGCGGAGAAATGGGAAAATATAAAAAAATACTTCAGAAATCGGAATACTGGAAATTTAAAACCATCAAAATTTGAAAAATTTAAAAAACGAAATTTTTAAAAATCATAAAATTGGAGAGGACAAAATAGAGAAATCGTATCATGAAACATAGGAAAATCGAGAAATCGAAAAATAAAAAATCCAGAAATCGAAAACTTGAAGAAAAGAAAAATTAAAAAGGCTCATCATTGAAATTTTGAAAAACTGAGACATCTAAAGTTCAAAAATTGAAAAACTGAAAAATCGACAAATCGAGAAATCGAAACTCCAGAATTTAAAAAAATGAAAATTTGAAAAATCAAAACACCGAAAAATTGGAAAATTAAAAAATTGAAAAGCCCAAAAGAAAAAAGCGAAAAACCGAGAAATCCAAAAATCGAAACATCGAAAAATTCAAAAACTGAGACATCGAGAAATGGAAATATCAGAGGATTGAAAAGTCGAAATATTAAAAAAAAATTGGAAAATCGGAAATTTAAAAAAATTGGAAAATTGAAAAATAAAGAAGAACTGAATTTCCTGAAGTCGAATAACATAGAATTTTAAAAATTGAAAAAAAGAGAAATCTAAGTATAAAAACTCGAGAAATCAAAAAATCCAATAGTCCTAAAATCGAAAGATCGAAATATTGGAAAATCCCAAAACTGATAAAAATATCCAAAAACTGAGAAATTAAAAACCTGGAAAATTGGGAAATCGAAAATCCAAAAAAGCAAAGTCGAAAAATCGAAAAATTGAAGAATGAGAAGTGGGAAAATCAAAAATAGATTAATTGAGAAATCTTTTCTTTTCAAAAAAAAGAAAAATTGGAAAATCGAAAATTTAAAAATTCCAAAAATTGAAAAATTGAAATAAGGAAGAACTGAAAAGTCGAGAAATCGAAAAACTTAGAATTTTGAAAAATAAAACGTGAAAAATCGCCAATTGAAGATTTGAAGTGAGAAAACGAAACTTTGGGACGTCGAGAAATGGGAAAGTATAAAAAAATATGTACTTCAGAAATCGGAATACTGAAAATTTAGAAACATCATAATTTGAAAATTGAAGAGGACAAAAATACAAAATCGTTTTATGAAATATAGGAAAATCGAGAAATCGAAAACTTGAAGAAGGGAAAAATTGAAAAAGCTCATCATTGAAATATTGAAAAACTGAGACATCTAAAGTTGAAAAATAGAGAAATTGAAAAACCAAAAATATCAATAGCAGGTACTAGCCCCACCCACCCGCCCTCTCTTTTCTTAGAGTGTATCTCATGTGCCAAAATCAGTCATATCTTAGCAAGTACTAGCCCCGCCCACCCACCCTGTTTTTTCTTATAGGGGACGGAGAAAATAAAATTTAAATCTACTGTTGTAAAATTTGGAGATTACGTCATTTCATTGTTGGTGAAAAATTTTGGTGAGCATTTTACCGTTTGATAATACAATTTGAAATGTAAATTTTGCCATTCGGGAACATTATAAATTAAATCGTTAAGATGTTCAAGAACTTTGTTCACTGATTCGTTGTAACGAGAGTCGACTTATAGGTAAATCGCTTAGAGACGATATTGGCCTGAGTGCACTCTGGTCTGTAAATCAAACAAGTTCTCAGGCGACATTATTAAGAGGGGTATGAGTAATGGAAATACAGACGACGTTGAAAATATGTGAAAACATTTTTCACATGTCACTGTTTTGACGTGGTGATTCTAATTAAAATTATTAATTATTTGCTTCGATAATTTTATCGGTTTGTTCTCTGACAAGTTAGGTAGATAAATTTGTTCCTGAACCCTGATAATTGACATAAATCAAACTGAATTAAATTTCGTTCACCCGAATTGATTTAAATCCGCAACATGCGTACGATATTTTCGGTGGGAGTCCGAATTGAGTTTACATTATTTTTTTATCAAGTCTGTACCAGTCTGTAACTAACCTACTAGTGCAATCGAAGTCGAAGTACGTCTATAACAGTGACCCGTAGATGTTATCATGCCAGTAGAATACGTGAGGAAAACAAGCACTTTGACTAATCAATAACCAGTACACTTGTATTTTTTGCGATTAAACCGGGCCAATTAACCTTCAGTTCAGAACAAACGATCTCGTTCTTGCAATTATCTCGACTTACATCTCCCAAGAAAATACTTGAAGTACCATCTTGTTTGATACTCCGGATTCTCGAGCACGGGCGTGCTCGGCGACCCGAACATCTATAAAAAAACTCAAGCTTCATAATCAAAAGAGATTCAAAAGAATGTGATACAGTGCGGTCACTGTAAACAAGCCCGAATAAACAATACCCTCACTGACCTCATCCTTCTCCCCAGGAGAGTCTCCATTTTCAATCCGGAACCTCCTGCCGTGCTCCTGCCCATCGTTTTCAGTCTGCTGCAGCTGAAAAAAAGCACCAAACTGCTTTGAGCATCACTCGATAATTCGCGCCGCTTAATTGAATCATTAAATCACACGGAAAGCTGCGAAAGCTCGTAAGCGAGAGCATGCATGTCCTTGTCGGAATGCGAAAAACAGGCGATTTTCTGGAATTTTCATCTAAGTTTACATGGTTGTGAGTTGTGTGATGTTGTAATTGTTGGAGTGGTTTTGCTAACCTCAATGTGAATCGATGAATTGAACTCTATCCAAGCAACTAATTTGTACCCTTGGGACGTGTTTAACCCCAGTCCTAATATGCGTGTCTGTTTTAGTCAAGGTGGAGTAATTTCCTGTTATAGATTGGAATTTGTTTATTATAGTGAATTAATTGTCTTTGTGTTGGGTCGGGTTATTATCGGCTTCAAATTAACAGGGAATTTGATTTTTAACACATAGGGATAGTGTGTGTGATTAGAGACAAAACAGGCGGCAATTTATATTCATAACCAAGCGAGGTCCAAGTCATAATTGGTTTTTCGGTGTACCAATATTGTTATGGAGTGAGTTTTATTAGTTTCTGCTGGTTTATTGTGGTAGTTGTAACAATTTTAAATCTATATGAAAATGTTGGCTGAAAAAGTTCTGTAATTTAATTTAGAAATAATTACGGTTGGAACAAATTGGTGGAGGCGCCGGGACTCATAATGAATTTTTAATTTACATATTTTTGCACAATGTACAATTGTACAATTAGTTCGGAATTTTTAAATCTCTCAATAAATCATTAAAAATAGAAAAAATGAGCTGTATAAATTTGTATGACGAAATCGTTCGTGAATAATTTACATTTATATTTCATCCCCTGTTGAAACATAGCTTTTCTAGAATTATAAATGTACAGTCGGTTGGTTATACGGGTGAACTTTTAAAACATTTTTGTCTTTATACCAATACTGAAAAAAAAATCAAACAAATGGTGGCTGATTTCCCTGAAAGTTTGAAAGTTTGCTCCGCCATCCATCAAGACAAACTGATCTTTCCTGAGGGATTTGCGGAACTATTCTAAGAAAAGACTTGTACATGTTTCCCTAAAACATCCCTGCGGCTCACGGATTAGGGACTAAGAGACAAGATTTATTGGAGTATTTTTTAAAGGCTCTAATTATCCGTCAATTTTTTTTTTATAACGCAACCACACTTCCGTTCCTTTTTAATTTCTTTTTTACTCTTTCAAACATGTTTTCAGTTTCTTATCGGGAAAAGAAGATTACACATATTAAAAAAAAAGCAAAATGGAGCCCCGCCCACCCACCCTATCTCAATTGTGATGATTTTGTCATTAGTTGTCAGATTGAGGGGCGGAGCTTAATTGCAAAATCCATATTTCCTTACAAAAATTTACTATTTTAAAGGTGTTTTAAGTTTTTAAGAATAAAAAAATCATCACAATTGAGATGGGGTTAATATTTTCCCTTTTTTCTTAATATATATAGTATTCTTTAAACCACACGACACTTAAAAACATGTTTTTAATTTATTAGAGATAAGTATTTTGCAGTTAGTTCCGCCCCCTTGCTACACGGCGAATAAAAAAAATCCTTCCAATTTAGAGGGGGCGGGTGGGCGGGCTTATATTTTGCCTCTTTATTGTAATAAGTGTAGAATAATTTTTATAACATGAAACTTAAAACATGTCTAAAGTGGAAAATTTGTATAAAGAACTGCGAAATCCATGTTTCCTTGCAAAAATGTACCATTCTAACCATGTTGTAAGTTTTTTGAAAAGATGGCTATGTATATTAAGAAGACAAAGCCAAATATAAGCCCCGCCCACCCACCCTGTCTCAATTATGATGATTTTTTTATTCGTCGTAAGCCGAGGGGCGAAGCTTAACTGCAAAATCCATATTTCCTTACAAAAATTTACCACTTTAAACATGTCTAAAGTGGAAAATTTGTTCAAAGAAATATGGATTGTGCAATTAGGCTCCGCCCCGTAACTTCAAAATCCATATTTCCTTGCAAAAATGTACCATTTTAACCATGTTTTAAGTTTTTTGAAAAGATGGCTATGTATATTAAGAAGACGAAGGCAAAATATAAGTCCCGCCCACCCACCCTGTCTCAATTCTGATGATTTTTCTATTCGTCGTAACCCGAGGGCGGAGCTTAATTGTAAAATCCATATTTCCTTACAAAAATTTACCACGTTAATCGTGTTTTGAGTTTTTATGCATAAAAAAAAATCTTCAAAATTGAGATGGGGTGGGTGGGCGGGGTAAATATTTTGACCTTTTTTTAATATATACAGTATTCCTAAAGCCACACGAAACTTAAAAACATGTTTTTAATTTCTTAAAAATAATTATTTTGCAGTTACGTTCCGCCCCCTTGCTTCACAGCGAATAAAAATCATTCCAATTTAGAAGGGGCGGGTGGGCGTTTTTACATTTTGCCTCTTTGTTTTAATAAGTATAGATTTCTTTTCATAACATGAAACTTAAAACATGTCTAAAGTGGAAAATTTGTCTAAAGAAATATGGATTTTGCAATTAGGCTTCGCCCCGTAACTTCAAAATCCATATTTCCTTGCAAAAATGTACCATTTTAACCATGTTTTAAATTTCTTGAAAAGATGGCTATGTATATTAAGAAGACAAAGGCAAAATATAAGCCCCGCCCACCCACCCTGTCTCAATACTGATGATTTTTTTTATACGTCGTAAGCCGAGGGGCGAAGCTTAACTGCAAAATCCATATTCCCTTACAAAAATTTACCACTTTAAATATGTTTTGAGTTTCTAAGAATAAAAAAAATTATCAGAATTGAGATGGGGTGGGTGGGCGGGGTAAATATTTTTTCTTTTTTTTCTTAATATACATAGTATTCTTTAAACCACCCGACACTTTAAAACATGTTTTTAATTTCTTAGAAATAAGTATATTGCAGTTAAGTTCCGCCCCCTTGGTTCACGACGAATAAAAAAAAATCATCACGATTGAGAAAGGGTGGGTGGGCGGGCATACATTTTGCCGTTTGGTTTTAATATGTGTAGACTTCTTTTCATATCATGAAACTTAAAACATGTCTAAAGTGGAAAATTTGTATAAAGAAATATCGATTTTGCAATTAGGCTCCACCCCGTAATTGCAAAATTCATATTTCTTTGCAAAAACCATCTTCTACGTTTCTTGTTGTGAAAAGATGGCTATGTATATTAAGAAGGAAAACAATATATAAGCCCCGCCCACCCGCCCTGTCTCAATTTTGATTATTTTTTCTATTCACCGTAAGCCCAGGGGCGGAGCTTAATAGTAAAATCCGCATGTTTCTAGCAGAAATTATCATGTAAAATATGTTCTTAGGTAATTGTGTTGTACAAAAAAACTAAATGCATTAATTAAAAAGGAAAACCAAAAGAGAAGCTCCACCCATTCGTTACGACCTCAATCGGGATGAATTTTTCATTTGTTGTCACAACGAGGGGCGGAGCGTAATTGCAAAATCCATATTTTCCTAGAAAAATTTTCCATTTTGAATATGTTTTTAGTTTCTTGTAAGGGAAAGAAGATTAGACATATTAAGAAAAAAAAGGCAAAATATAGTTCCGCGCAACCGCCCTATCTCAATTGTGATGATTTTTTCATTAGTTGTCAGATTGAGGGGCGGAGGTTAATTGCAAGATCAGTATTTCCTTAAAAAAATTACTAGTTTAAAGGTGTTTTAAGTTTTAAAGAATAAAAAATGTCATAAAAATTGAGATGGGGTAGGTGGGCGGGGCCAATATTTTGCGTTTTTTTCTTCATATACATGGTATTCCTTAAACAAGACGACACTTAAAAATTGTTTTTAATTTCCTAGAAATAAGTATTTTGCAGTTACGTTCCGCCCCCTTGCTTCACGTCGAATAAAAAATCATTCCACTTTAGAGGGGGCGGGTGGGCGGGCTTACATTTTGCCTCTTTGTTTTAATAAGTATAGACTTCTTTTCATAACATGAAACTTAAAACTTGTCTAAAGTGGAAAATTTGTCTAAAGAAGCATGAATTTTGCAGTTAGGCTCCGCCCCGTAACTTCAAAATCCATATTTACTTGCAAAAATGTACCATTTTAACCATGTTTTAAATTTCTTGAAAAGATAGCTATGTATATTAAGAAGACAAAAGCAAAATATAAGCCCCGCCCACCCACCATGTCTCAATTCTGATGATTTTTTTATTCGTCGTAAGCCGAGGGCGGAGCTTAATTGTGAAATCCATATCTTCTTACAAAAATTTACCACGTTAATTGTGTTTTGAGTTTCTAAGCATAAAAAAAATCATCAAAATTAAGATGGGGTGGGTGGGCGGGGTAAATATTTTGCCCTTTTTTTTAATATATATATATACTATTCTTTAAGCTGCACAACACTTAAAAACATATTCTTAATTTCTTAGAAATAAGTATTTTGCAGTTAAGTTCCGCGTCCTTGGTTCACAGCGAATAAAAAAAAATCATCACAATTGAGAGAGGGCGGGTGGGTGGGCTTACATTTTGCCTCTTTTTTTTAATGAGAAAACATTTCTTTTCATCACATGAAACTTAAAACATGCCTCAAGTGGAAAATTTGTATAAAGAAATATCGATTTTGCAATTAGGCTCCTCCCCATAACAGCAAAATCCATATTTTCTTGCAAAAATATACCATTTTAACCATGTTTTAAGTTTCTTGAAAAGATGACTATGTATAGTAAGAAGACAAAAACAAAATATAAACCCCACCCACCCGCCCTGTCTCAACTGTGATGATTTTTTCTATTCACCGTAATCCGAGGGGCGGAGCTTAATAGTAAAATCCGTATTTTTCTAGCAAAGATTACTATGTAAAATATGTTCTTGGGTAATCGTGTTATACAAAGAAAACTAAATGTATTAAATAAAAAGGAAAAGCAAAAAAGAAGCTCCACCCATCCGTCATGACCTCAATCGGGATGAATTTTTCATATGTTGTTATAACGAAAGGCGGACCGTAATTGCGAAACCCATATTTCCCTAAAAAAATGTACCATTTTGAATATGTTTTAAGTTTCTTGTTGTGAAAACAAGACTGCATATGTTAAGAAAAAAGACATATTATAAACCCCACCCACCCACCCTATCTCATTTGTGATGACTTTTTTTATTCGCAGTGAACCAGGGGGCGGAGCTTAACCACAAAATCCTTGTTTCTTTGCGAGAAATTAAAACATGATTTTGAGTATCGTATTGGTCAAAAAATACTGTGTAAATTAAAACAAAAAGTAGAGCCAAAGATTAGGGCCCACCCAAACCCGCCCCGATCTCAGTTCTCAATTGTGATGAATTTTTCACTCGTTGTCAGATCGATGGGCGGGGCAAAATATAAAGGAGCGGAATTTAATTGCAATATTCTTATTAATTCTCGATAAGAAATTACCATGTAAGAGATATTTTTGTGTATCGTACTATTCAAAGAATACTATTTGCATTTATTAAGAAAAAATTAAAGCCGAATATTAAGCCCCACCTATTTTTGCCCTGATCTAAATAGAAATGAGGTTTTCATTCGTTGGCAGACCTAGGGGCGGAGCCTAATTGCAAAATTTATATTTCCTTACAAAAATTTACCATTTTAAACGTGTTTTAAGTTTCTAAGAGTAACAAATATCATCACAATTGAGATGGGATGGCTGGGCGGGGTTTATATTTTGTCTTTTTTTCTCAATATACATAGTATTCTTTGAACAACACGATACTCAATGTTTAAATTTATTGTAAAGAAATAAGTATTTTGCAGTTAAGCTCCGCCCTCTTGGTTCACGGCGAATAAGAAAAATCATCAGATTTGCGACAGGGCGGGTGGGCGGGCTTATATTTTGCCTTTTTGTTTAAAATGTATAGAATTCTTTTTATAACATGAAACTTAAAACATGTTTAAAATAGAAAATTTGTATAAAAGAATATCGATTTTGCAAATAAGCTCCGCCCCATAATTGCAAAATCCATATTTTCTTTTGAGAATGTACCATTTTAACCATGTTCTAAGTTTCTTGTTTTGAAAAGTTGGCAATGTATATTAAGAAGACAAAAGCAAAATATAAACCCCACCCACCCACCCTATCTCAGTTGTGATGATTTTTTTATATTATGACAGCTGCCATCGCCTCAACCAATGAACACGTTTGTTAGGTATATTGGTGTCAAACTTGACAACTGTGAACTGACATACTGTAGAAGTGATTTTAATATCCAGAACGATAGAAGAAAAAATAATGTATGAATAATATTTAATCATATTTATAATATTTATTGCAATAGGAGTTAGATTCCGTTGAAACCCCAAGGGCACAAATAAAACTTTTTTGACAGCAGTACAAACCAGACTGCGATTATTTTACATATCAATTTTAATAACTAGAAGTACATTTATACCAGAAGGTTTTTTTTTCAATTTAAATTTCAAGATCTCTTAACAAAATTGAATTTGAGTGGAGAATTTATTGAGTTTTATTCCTTCAACGTTTTTTCATAAATTTTTACTTTCCCCATATCTATGCCAGACAGTTAAAGCAGTGCTTAGAACTCATCTGCTAAAAATTGAATTATATTCTTAAATCGATTGCGATTTTGTTTATATTTAAAATGTGAAAAATATATAATATTAATAACTTTAAATGATCAGTTCTTTTTTCGCTATCATTATATTAGAGTGAAAGTAGTGAAGAAATTTGACAATCATTGAAGCGAAACAAAAACATTAATTAGCCATATTTGTTTGAAAATGTAATTTAAATTCAAAATTGGTGGATGCGCCGGGCTCACGCACAAATTTTCCATCAGTTTATTTGCGTATTTACTTTTTGAAATGTTAACAAAGGCGTCTTCCGTCGATATAACCCAACTCGTTGTTACGTTATTCGAAGTTAATTTAAAAAACGATGTGGAAATCAATAACAAAATTGCGCCCCATTTCGTTGTGGCTATAGAGGTGTAAACCAGCGTTTATTTAACATTCACCGCATTAACAAACTTGTTCATTAGATTTAAATTTAATAGAAATTGTATGAAATTTTCGAACGCCGAATCTCATTCATAATAAATTTCCACATTCATCATCCCTCCAAGTGAGTTTATGATTATTTTAAAGACGAGTTTGCAGCAATAAATCATAATTTATCATACCTGTTCCACTGAACCGTAATAGCGTCTGGAGAAAACCCCTCGGCGAGATATAAGATCACTGGCATTTGCACTGAAACAAAGAAAAAAGCTGTTAATCATTCACGCTCTCGTAAGCGCTATTTTTTATTTACTTTACATTTCAATTTCCCGTGCAAATACGAAAGAAAAGATGGGTGAAAACACTCGGGTTTTGTTATTACAAAACGGAGTCGGAATCTAACGAATGCGATGTTAGCGTGGGTATTTATTACAACCGCGGTTCTAATGAAGACAATTATGTAAAATAATGAAGGAGCTAAGTTCGCCGTAATTTCAAACTTTACAGAGTAAATAAAATCCACAACTAGAGGAAGTTAGACTCGGATTTGTGTATTAATTGTAGTCTCGAAGACAATTTGTGACAATTTTTGTGTGTTGTAACGTTTAAGCTTCCATTAAGTGTGCGAAAATGGCGCAGTCGGTGGGATTAAATTTTCAAAGTGCGAAAATTAAGTTTTTGCAGTTGCACTAAACCTCTTGTAAATTCCAAATACTACGTCTTTATGTTATTCCCATCTAGTTAGTCTAATTAGCTTAACGCGTCTACACGCTGCTGGAAATTCTAGCAAATCGTGTTTATTTAGTCTGTTTTGTAAGCAACGGCCAAATACCCACATTAAGTAAGTTTGCGTTACAAAAGCGTGTAAACAGTAATTAATGACCACTAAAAATAGCCACCGGGTAAACACTTTTCCTAAAAAAAAAGAAAATAAATAAAATAGGTCTCTTGTCGACCTACAATCAACATATCCACCACTTTTCAAAGCAAATTAACCACGCTAACTTTTTTTGTTAAAAGTTGTCCAATTTGCATGCAACACGGCTGGAACTTTCGTAAAAACGTCTGTTGACCCTGCGAACCTGTTGAAGCAAGAATTTCACCGGAAGAATCCGGGCGCTCACATTGTACACTTTATCTCTTCGTAAACGGTGAAAAGCAATAAAAAAGACAGTCGGTTGAAATTACACATTTAAGTAATCGCCAAGTTGAAGGTTATTTGTGATAAATCCGTCCACTGTAACGAGATTAAAAATCTCCACTGTGTGCATTAACAAATCGGATTACCTGCTCATACAAACGAATATTGATTCTCTAAATATTTAAAGAGAAGTATCACTAATGTAGGGGCCGACAACACCATTTATCTCCTCACTGATTACGCATTCCAGATTGCACTTTGTGTCTAAATTAGAAATTTTATTGGTGTTTGGGGAATTATGTCGATTAATTTCACCACACCGCATCAACAGCTATAAAACACATGGAATAAAAAACCGCTGAAAACTAACGATACATATTCATGTGCGGAATTGGCAACATTTCGATCTAATTTAGAACAGTGCGCTGGATTTCTGTATCGCTCTGACGGTTTTTAGATAAGCTGTTTCCAGCATCCTGTTTCGCGGTTACGGTCGATTAAATGAAATTAAAAGAGCGCGGAAATGTTTACGTGGATGGACTAGGAATTTATGGACTAGGGGAAATTACATTATTTCTAGTTATTGTGGGAGGTTTTATAGGGATTTTGAGCTTTAGTGTTGCTGTGAAGTAGGTTTGTAAAATCTGGGTTAAATAAAAATTTACAGACCACTTTCCGAAGTGTAGTGGATTCGTGCTCAAAAGTTCGAATTAATAAAGATGACAATTTTTAGAAAACTGAGAGCTTAATTGTCAAAGATGTAAAAAATAATTTTCGAGTTTACGGTTTCACCATTTCAAAACGGTTCAAGATACAGTGCTGTGGTTTATACCAGTCGATTCCTTGAAGTTTTTTGGTCGCGTTTACGAATTTTTGAGCCGGATAAGTTAGCCATTCGGGCTTGAGTGGTCGATAAAGCGGACGATCTTAGTTTTCTATAGGTGGCATTTTATTAAAAAATCAAAAAAATTCTGGAAGCTTTGCAGCTAACTTCCGAATTTGGATTCGATTTCAGGAGTTTCGTATTACCAAAGAGACGAATTTTTAGAAGGTAGAGAGTTTAATTAACAAAGATATTTCGAAATGATCAAAAACCAAATTTTCGCAATTTTTCGGAAAATAGGTGAAAAACAAACTCTTTCGATCTACTTAAAATTGAGTTTTTTGACCAATTTCCCCGTGCAGAATCCAATTCTATCATCACTTTTTGAATATTAATTGGATTTCAATTTAAATTGTGTTTTCAACCTCATTTCAAAAAATAATTTTCGAGTTTACGGTTTCACCATTTTAAAACCGTTCAAAATACAGTATTGCGGTTGGCACCATTCGATTCCTTGAAGTTTTTTAGTCGCGTCTACGAATTTTTGAGCCGGATAAGTTAGTCATTGGGGCTTGAGTGAACGATAAATCGGTTGATGTTAGTTTCCTATAGGTGGAATTATAACAAAAAATCAAAAAAATTATGGAAGCTTCGCAGTTAACTTCTGAATCTGGATTCGATTTCAGGAGTGTTGTATTACAAAAGAGACTAATTTTCAGAAGGTAGAGATCTTAATTAACAAAGATATTTCGAAATGTTCAAAATTCTAAATTTTCCAACATTTCGAAAAATGAGGTGAAAAACCAACTCTTTCGATCTACCTGAAATTGAGTTTCAAGACTAACTTCCACGTTTAGAATCCATTTATGTCATCAGTTATTGAAAATTTATTGGATTTCAATTTAAATTGTGTTTCAAGCCTCATTTAAAAAAATAATTTTCGAGTTTACGATTTCACCATTTCAAAACGGTTCAAAATATTGTATTGGGGTTTACACCATTCGATTCCTTGAAGTTTTTTAGTCGCGTTCACGGATTTTTGAGCCGGATAAGTTTGTTATTTGGGCTTGACTGATCGATAAAACGGACGATGTTAGTTTTCTATAGGTGGCATTATATTAAAAAATCAAAAAAATTCTGGAAGCTTCGTAATCAACTTCTGAATCTGGATTCGATTTCAGGAGTTTAGTATTACTAAAGAGAATAATTTTCAGAAGGTAGATAGCTTAATTAACAAAAATATTTTGAAATTGTCAAAATTCCAATTTTTCGAAACACTTCGGAAAATGAGGTGAGAACCAAACTCTTTCGATCTACCTGAAATTGAGTTTCTAGACCAATTTCCCCGTGCAGAATCCATTTCTATCATCACTTGTTGAATATTAATTGGATTTCAATTTAAATTGTGTTTCAAACCTCATTTCAAAAAATAATTTTGGAGTTTACGGTTTCACCATTTCAAAACGGTTCAAAATATTGTATTGGGGTTTGCACCATTCGATTCCTTGAAGTCTTTTAGTCGCGTCCACGAATTTTTGAGCCGGATAAGTTAGTTATTCGGGCTTGAGTAATCGATAATTCGGTTGATGTTAGTTTCCTATACGTGGAATTATAATAAAAAATCAAAAAAATTCTGGACACTTCATAGTTAACTTCTGAATCCGGATTCGATTTCAGGAGTGTCGTATTACAAAAGAGACCAATTTGCAGAAGGTACAGATCTTAATTAAGAAAGATATTTCGAAATGATTAAAATTTCCAAATTTTCCAAGATTTCGAAAAATGAGGTGAAAAACCAACTCTTTCGATCTACCTGAAATTGAGTTTCAAGACCAACTTCCACGTTTAGAATCCATTTATGTCATCAGTTATTGAAAATTAATTGGATTTCAATTTAAACTGTGTTTCAATCCTCATTTCAAAAAATAATTTTCGAGTTTACGGTTTCACCATTTCAAAACCGTTCAAGATATCGTATTGGGGTTTACACCGTTCGATTCCTTGAAGTTTTTTAGTCGCCCCCACGGATTTTTGAGCCGGATAAGTTAGTAATTGGGGCTTGAGTGATCGATAATTCGGTTGATGTTAGTTTCCTATAGGTGGAATTATAATAAAAAACCAAAAAAGTTCTGGAAGCTTCACAGTTAACTTCTGAATCTGGATTCGATTTCAGGAGTGTCGTATTACAAAAGATACCAATTTTCAGAAGGTACAGATCTTAATTAAGAAAGATATTTCGAAATGATTAAAATTTCCAAATTTTCCAACATTTCGAAAAATGAGGTGAAAAACCAACTTTTTCGATCTGCCTGAAATTGAGTTTCTAGACAAATTTCCACGTTCAGAATCCATTTATGTCATCAGCTATTGGAAATTAATTAGATTTCAATTTAAATTGTGTTTCAAGCCTTATTTCAAAAAATAATTTTCGAGTTTACGGATTCACCATTTCAAAACTGTTGAAAATATCGTATCGGGGTTTACACCATTCGATTCCTTGAAGTTTTTTATTCGCGTCCACGGATTTTTGAGCCGGATAAGTTAGTCATTGGGGCTTGAGTGATCGATAATTCGGTTGATGTTAGTTTCCTATACGTGGAATTATAATAAAAAATCAAAAAAATTCTGGAAGCTTCACATTTAACTTCTGAATCTGGATTCGATTTCAGGTGTGTCGTATTACAAAAGAGACCAATTTTAAGAAGGTAGAGATCTTATTTAACAAAGATATTTCGAAATGATTAAAATTCCAAATTTTCCAACATTTCGAAAAATGAGGTGAAAAACCAATTTTTTCGATCTGCCTGAAATTGAGTTTCTAGACAAATTTCCACGTTTAGAATCCATTTGTCATCAGCTATTGAAAATTAATTAGATTTCAATTTAAATTGTGTTTCAAGCCTCATTTAAAAAAATAATTTTCGAGTTTACGATTTCACCATTTCAAAACGGTTAAAGGTATCGTATTGGGGTTTACACCATTCGATTCCTTGAAGTTTTCTAGTCGCGTCCACGGATTTTTGAGCCGGATAAGTTAGTTTTTCGGGCTTGAGTGGTCGATAAAACGGACGATGTTAGTTTTCTATTGGTGGCATTATATTAAAAAATCAAAAAAATTCTGGAAGCTTCGTAGCTAACTTCTGAATCTGCATTCGATTTCAGGAGTTTCGTATTACTAAAGAGACTAATTTTCAGAAGGTAGAGAGCTTAATTAACAAAAATATTTTGAAATAGTCAAAATTCCAATTTTTCGCAACACTTCGGAAAATGAGGTGAAAACCAAACTCT